TTTTGGTACCAATACACTGGTGAGTTAAATCGTTCTATCTTGGGAGGATATATTCCAGCACCTCGGGTACTTGAGGGGAATAATTTCCTTAAGGACACACTGTGTATTCAGTGGGCTCGATTTATTCCTATACTGTTATTTTATTTGTTTTCCAGAATCTATTTCGTTAAACAAGTATTACTAATTTTCTATTTTGTTTTTTCAGAAAGTTTAATTGTTTATTACAGCAATACAGAATAATAACTGGACAACATACAAGTCCCAACCTTCAGCTGGTTGGTTCTTTGAACCATCATAGACAATTAATGAGGAGCTACAGTGTTGCTAATATCAGGCCCTTCAGTAGCTCCTCTAATGCTAATATCTGTATTTTGTTTCTTGGATTTCTTTTATATGGGAGGTTTTGGTTTATGTCCCCTCTTTGTAATATTTTGCTATCAAATAAATAAGGTAGGGGTCAAGCCAAATCCGTCACCGGTTGAAAACCTGGGTGAATGGTTTAATTAAAAAAAAAAAAAGAATGCACGTGTCCAATGACGTCCAATTATACTTAATCTACACAATACATTGCCCAACTGCTCCATTAACCTCTTAACTTAGATCAATTCGACGATTATAATTTGTCTTTGGACTTAGGCCAATCCATAACAATGCAATTGGAATTTATATCTAATATCGACTAACGATGCAATTGGAAGTTTACCGAATATCGACTCACCCAACCTTTACCCATTATTTTTCACTCATTTATAAACATCCATTAACACCGGCAATTACACCCAATTTTTAGCATGACTAGTATTAACTTAATAATTTAGTTTGAAGAGAAGATTAACACTCACTTGAAAGCAAACGTCTAAAAAATTCTTCAATTCTATAACCCACACCCAATGCTTCAAATCAACTAGCAATGCACCAAAGTTCCTCACGAAATGACATGCATGCTCAAAAAATGAAAGTCTGAGTACGTCGGTTCATTTGAAGTTTAAAGCAAATAAGATATGATTTGAACTAAAATGAGATGAGGCAATTCGTCTAAAAAAGAATAGTACTGTATTTAGTTAGTATTTGTGGCAACTAAAGTCGTCATAAAGTTAAGGCTATTGCGGCCAACAAAGTTGCGACTGAAAGTGTAAAGACACTCTGTGGCATCTATAGTCGCCACTGAAACGGGAAAAGGTTGCCACCATAAGCCGGTTAGCACGCCACTAGAACTAGGGATACCTGTGATGACTTTTAGTGGCGAGCACAATCACCACAAAACACTTCTAACTTTTCTTTGCAACTCCCTTGTCTACAAAAGCCTTAACTTTAAGGCGAATTTACTCGTGTAAGTATTGACATTTCATAGCAATTATACTCGCCACTAAAAGTCGAATAGGTCGCTATTATAGGGATTATTCATTGACGATCTACCTAAAATCTATTGGTTTTAATTTTTTTTTGGTCGCATAGTTGTTTACGTTTTATAGCAACTTTTAGTCGCCACTAAAAGTCAAATATGTCTTTAATAAGGTTATTATTCATTGCCGATCAATATAAAATATATTTTGACGTGATGATCATAATACATAAAAACATCATAAATCTCATTTGAGGCAATCAATAGTTTTGTAGTTCATAATCATGTTCCGACATTCTCACACAAGCTCATTCCCACGTGAACAAAGATAACTCTTTTCGCCATAAGTTATTGCAATCAGCTTGTAATTGCCTCTTAGTAAATCATATTTGCTTCTATGCAGAAATTCACTTGCCAGTACTTCATCTTTGTTTCCATGCCTTAATTGTTTTTTTTATCTTTGTATTTCTTTTTGTATGTTTTCCATGATTATTTCTGTATATAAAGTTTGCTAAAGGCTTGATATAAAATGACTCTGCAACTTTAGTATTAAAAACTGCCTTTGGAAGTTGTTTGAAGAAGAGATGCTGTTATGCATTGTAACTTAATTTATTTGTAGTTTTATCTTCTTCTTTGTTTTGATATTTGTCTTACAGTTGCATGAAAAATTTCCTCAGCATAAAAAGAATTTGTCAATTTGTTTGTGTTTATTGAAGTTGGAAAATGAAAAGGACTTCCATCCTCAAGTTAATTTTTATTTATTCTACGCAAAGAAATGAAAGATAAACAAATAAACCTAGAAGGGTTGTTACGGTCTTCCAGAACTTGAATATAAGAATAAATTGACTAAGTGTAGAAGACTTAACAAACACAGTTTTGGAACTTTTGAAGTCATTAGATGAGGTGCTTGATTACATAGTCATCATTGTTGTTAGAGCAGTTAAATAACATAAGTCAAACTTTCCCAGGGTTAACTTTTCTATTTATGTATCTCAAATTGTAGTATTTACTCTCAACAGCCCTGACTGGGACACAGGGATGTTAGTTAGAATTAAAAAAGGAAGAGGAGAAAAAATTGAAGCAACTTCTATACAGGAAAATAAAGCTTAATTACTGGAAGTTTGAAAATTGAAGGGGATTTATTTTGCAACTTTAAGTTTTGTATGCACTGACGACATATAATATTTGTATACTATCATATGAAGTTTATCGCCACAACAAACTGCCAAGGGTGTGGCCTATGTGGTCTAGTGGTTAATAAAATGACGGGTGCAAACCTTGGAAACCACGGTTCAAATCTAAGAGGCAGAACTCTAAGTTGGTTTCTTCTCGTTTGCCTAAGCTTTGGAGGGCAGAATCACTCTGTACCTGTGCTAGTGGGAATTCTTTACGCTATCACCATGCATAACTTAAACCCTTTTCAAACAAACATTATAGTGAGGAGACTTGTTATCATGTACATCAGATCAACATGATATCTTTAATATAGGCTAAGAATGTGAACTCAAAGAAAATATAAACACACACACACACACACACAGCATTTTTGTATGAAGAGTAATATACTCTGAAGCTCATACAGAGGTATAAATAGTGGATAACATGCTATACATACTTGTGAACCTAAGCTCAATTCAGCAATCACAAGGAAAATGATTAGATACTCTAAAATGCCAAACCTTGTTACGTTGTTGTACTTTGTGTAGCCTCCTTTTGCATCTATAAGCAAATGGAGTACTGTAAGAAACAAGAAAAGCAATAAGCCATTACTTCCAGGTCCAAAACCACGGCCTATAATTGGCAGCCTTCCTCAAATGCTCCTAAATAGCAAGCCAGCATTTCAATGGATACACAATCTTATGGAGGAAATGGACACTGAAATCGGTTGCATTCGTCTTGGTAATGTTCATGTTATTCCCGTCACTTCTCCTGAGCTTGCTTGTGAGTTCTTAAAGAAGCAAGACTCCGTTTTCTCATCGATCGAGGCCTATTTGCATGTCCGTGAACCTTGTTAGCAATGGCTACTTGACTTCAGTTTTTCTCCCCATAGGTGATCAATGGATGAAAATGAGAAGAATTCTTGCTTCTCATGTCCTCTCACATACATCTCTTCAATATAATGGCTTCGTCATAAAAGGGATGAAGAAGCTGACCACCTATTTACAATGAATATAGCAACCAACAGGTAATTAACTTGAGGAAAGTGACAAGATATTATTGTGGGAATGTTATTAGGAATATGATTTTCAGCAAGAGATTATATGGAAAAGAAGCTGAGGAGCAAGTTGATGCACTCTTCACACTTCTTGAATACCTCCATTCTTTTGGTATCTCAGATTACTTACCATGGTTAAGTGTGTTTGATTTGGATGGTCACAAGGCAATTATCAAGAAAGCCTTTGCCACATACAGCAACAAAACACATTGATACTGAAGTTGATCAGAGGATTCAGAT